TTCAGGAGCAGTTATACGCGATATCGCGAGATTAATCCGCGTACGCGTGGCGCGTAATCCGTTTATATCAGTCGACTAGGACGTCCGGCGGAATCAATGTCAAAATGAATGTAATAACGTCGATGACGAGCATATCGGGGACAATGCAGTTAAACGCCATTATATACGATTTCGCGCGCGTTATAAATTCTTTGATCCGGAAACTTTTCCGATATTTGATGCGGCTTTAAACTTTTATATTGGACTCTCTCTCTCTTTCGTCATTTTTATATCGACGCTGGCGGGGAGTTTTTTTTTTCTTCTTCGAAAGGAAAGATCAACAAATCGGGGATCTTCGAGAGGAGGTAATCCAAGAAATCTTTCGAAGATCTCTCGTGTCGAGAAGTTAGACACTTTCGGCGACTTAAGTGGCCTAATCCTATTTTGCTTCCGAGTATACCGCATTCTTATGGAGATATGCATTCGTGTAAGAGCCTGGTTTCCGTAATACTCCGAGTATCCCGAGGGGTGTTATGTATGTCCTCTATATTATTCTAGTGTAGAATCGATAACGTTTTACACGATTTGAGGATGAACGGAATTAGATATAAATCAGTAAAATATACTCGCGTTTTGTAATTCTTGCGAAAATTATAAAATTATTTTTTATTCAAATTGATGAAATATTTCTTACATCAAAGCAGACCGCGAAATAAAACCGACAAATCGCGAAATTTTAATTTTATTTTCTACTATTATTTAATTTTTATTTATTATTATATTATATATTTTATTTATTATTTCGTTATTATTTTAAATTTAATTACCATTTAATATTTCATTCTTCTTTTGCATTAAAAATATGTAAAAAACACTGTATACGCGTGCGAATAAAGTCAGTGGAATAAAACGAAACCTTTTCCTCTGATTGTTTCTACTTCCGCGTATGAGTCGTGTCGTATCGTTATGCAAATCGCTCCCAGTTTAAACGGCATTCCCGTTTCTGTATCTTCCTTCGGAGAAGCGTACACCCGCGGCGATTCGGCACAGTACATTAAGTTCGGACTGCTGTTTACCGTAATTTACCGACGCGATGCCGCCTTCCGAACGATTAAAGTTCCGATAGCGGAAAGGAGTCGCGGAGACTTGCTTACGGGTGAGCGCGAAGTTTAAGGCTGCAAGAAATAACCATAATCGCTTCTTCTTTCTTCCTTAGTCCAGATTTCTTATGTCACTATTTTTTACGGAACACATTCAGAAGTCAGATTTTCATTTTTTTTTCTGAAATTTTACTGTGAGTACAATTCAATGATTAATATATTGAATATAAACAAAATTTTTGTTGTCTCGCATTTTGTAATTCTTTCGAAAATTTATAAAATTATTTTCTATTCAAATTGATATAATATTTCTTACACCAAAGCAGACCGCAAAATAGAACCGACAAATATTTTCTACGCGAAATTTTAATGTTTTCCAATTATTTTATTTTTTACTATTATTATTTTGATTTATTATATTATATATTTTATTATTATAAATTTAATTATTCATAAAATATGACATAATTTGTATTATTCTTAAATCACGAAATTAAATCTCGTGCGATATCATAAGGCGTATGATAGATGCTTTTGTTACGCGATGAGAGAAGAAAGAAGAAAGTACCCACTTCCGATGCTGACAATCTAGACAATTTAGGAAATAATGGAGGGTCAACCTTTGCACTTTCATCATCTGTAACATGATATTGAACTAATGATAGGACAAGAGAAAGGATGATATTCTTAACTGTCGTTATCGGATCGAACTTTATCCGGTTCAAATCAAATGACTTGTCAGAGAGTGTCGCTACAAAATATTTTTTAAATTTTATCAAATAAATTATAAACTGTATTTTATTAATATACGAATTTTTAATTGGAAAGTTAATTAATCATTCGGGCTGATAATCGTTAATTGTTCGTAGAGAATATCAAGAAATAATTATCTGTTGACTCGATATTTTCACGCGAATACTGCAGAAACGTCAAAAGATGGTGTATCAGCTGATTTGTTGTCGCCTCGAAATTTTACATCAAAATACTGAACGCTTTATGAAATAATTCCGTGCCGAATATTCTGTTTCTCTCCATTTTTGATTGATTATTAATAAACTGACTAATACATAATGGCTGTTCATTACCTTAATTATCTGATTCGGCGGTTTATGTATTATTGCATGTTCTAGTTATGTAGCAATTGTTTTAACAATTTAATTATATTATTACTTGAATTTTCCGAGATTTGTGCGTTTTACTCCGCTCTTATAATCCGGAAATGATAACGATAAATCAATTATATACCGACGAGAAAAATTTAAGTAAAGTCTAAAACAATCTTCAGATCTCACAAATTATTGCATTATTTTATTCGAATTTTTAATCGAAAGCTTATGCACTGGAAAAATTATTAAATTAATCAATATTTATTTCAATACTGCCAAATAAATCGTTTATTTGAAACAAATAAATATTTTTCACATCTAATCAATATTATCAATAACATTAATTAATATTATTAGTTTCAAATAAATAATTTATAGGCAGCATTGAAATAAATATTTCGAATATTTAATAAATTTTTTCAGAATCTAATTGTCTATCAAATTTTTGTGATTACGGTTCCACTTCTAGAAATATTTTAATCGAAAGTACGCAAGTTTTGTTTTTTTTTTTAACTACGCGGTACCTGCGTTGAAGAAGAGAACCGTCAACAAAATAAATAAGAAGGAATGTGAATGAAATATTAAAAATAAAATCGACTTGACGAAAATTGATGCAATGGACAATGTAACACCTCTATTTACTCGCGAGTTCCCTTCGGCGCAGGTTAATCGGATCTCTGTCGCGTTATGGCGAAACGTCATTAAGCTGACTGCTGTTATCTAGGTAATAAGGGCCCTTACTCGCTTAAGGCGGATATAATGAAGGACACGTTACAAAGCGCAATTCGACGTGCCGGCTAAATATATGAATTGCCAATTAGCGATTATCAGTAAAGAAGCAATTTCCTCTCTTCCAGAAAAGATCTCTTTTTTTCAACCGAAAGAATGTGTTACATATTGCAAATTTTATTCCAACGTAATTAATATTTTTATATTATTTTTTTTTTTTAATAAAAAAACGCGCTTGTTTTTCAAAGACTGTGATAGAAGAGAGAATGTTCGACTTCTAATTATACTCACACGTGTCATAATTATGTGAAGTCTACTAATCGCGCGATTTCGTGATGCAAGCACATGAGCTAAGCACAAGAGAATCGTAAGGACTCATAAGGAATAAGAGAATTGATGATCATAGAAAATGCAATACGGATAAATTCGAAAATAGGTTTTGCAATTCATTATCACGATGAATGGAAATGAAATGCAAAATTGATTAAAGGAGAATTATCATTAATTTATCTCTTATTTTATAAATTACTGAATATTAGATCTATTTTTTCATCCAATTTTTATATTCTTTTTTCCATCCGTATTTTGCAAAATAAAAAAAAATTACGAAATTCGAATATTTCAAATCAGAAAAAGGAGCTCGCAGAAATGTTGGATAAAATCGATGAATTATACTTTTATATATATACATATATCTAATAAACGTCCTGTTTTGCATTACAGGCATTAAAACGATTTGACCGATAAATTGAATCAATATTATATAATCAAACGATATTCATCGCGGGCGCGAGAGATATAAATATATAATGATTTAAACATTGCATTATTGCGAAAAAACACGTAGTACATAAGTGTAATTATATACGTTCATATCGCTGTCGCACACGCGCCATTTGAATTATACGAGCGGTCCTCGCGTGAATTTAATGAGTTTGTACAACGTACGAGTCGATTATATTATTGCACAAATTACGCGCGACTCGAGCAAAATTGCGAATCGCGCGACTGCACTTGGCCGAATCGCGGAGATATGGACTGACGCAATAATACGCGCCGAGATGGCGGCAAATCGATACCGCGTCCGATACAATCCTGATATCGTCTCGACGTAGGTCAGGCCCGGCGTTGTTGATTTAGCCGAACGCGAGCAGATAACCCATTATCTGTCAAAGTATCGAAGAGCTGCCGGCTCGGCCGGCACTTCATCAAAGTGACGTATTAATCTGATTAATCCCTGCTCGCCAATTGCTGACGCGAGAGTTTGAAGTTTCGAACGATAATTAACACTCGAGCACTTGCCTTCAAATCGATCAACTTTTAGGGCAACGATTCAGCCGCAGCAAGGAATTTTTGTGTTAAGGGAATCCTGAACGTCCTTGAGGAGTCTTAGAATTTATAATTCTGTAATCAAGATATATGAGACTATACAGATTGATAAAGCTTTTTCCTGTACAAATTAGAGTACTAATATTAACAGAATAAGCCAATAAATAGATTTTTATGGTTTATAAATCTCATATTTTGTCGATAAACAGGAAAAACCAATAGACTTCTCAAGAACGTTTAGAATCCCCTTAAGGAAGATTTTAGAATTCAGTTTTATCTCCCTTTTTTTCCCCGAATGAAGAACAGGTATTTAACGACTCGCAAATCATGGATATTTGGAAGAATTTTATAAGAGTTTTTGTAATTAATATCACAATAAAAAATATTAATATGTACATAGTAAATTAATCGAACATATATTTTACATCTTATTGTGGTAGATATTAATACTTTTGATTGCGGTAAAAATATTAATCGCAGAGAAAAGTCTTATAAAATTTTATTTTATTTTATCTTATTCTTACTATTATTATTACCATTATTGTTACTATAATTATTTTTTAGTTATTACTTTTTAATTTTTTCTTGCGCATGTAATTACTTCATTATTTAGCCATGCTACGCGTACGTTAATAAAAATTTCCAAATTAATTGCGTTCTAAAGCTTGAGAACGTTAGGATCAAAAGTGCCGACCTACCAGAAGAAAGGGGGATTATAAATAAGTATCGCTTTGTGACGTTTCGCCTTGTTTTTCAGCGACGTGACAGTCTCGTCAAGCGTCCGCGAATGGCTTCGCTCGCCGGCCTTCGACGCGCGACAATGGGAGGACGAGGAGCTGCTGCTGATGCTGCAGACAATGTTCATCGATCTCGACCTACCTGAAAAGTTTAACATTCCCTTGCCGATTCTGAGGAACTTCCTCTACGAGGTCTACAACAATTACAACGAGGTGCCGTTTCATAATTTCAGGCATTGCTTCTGCGTGGCGCAAATGGTAAGTATCTCGTGTCTTTGTTATTGTTCAAACTTTTGTGATCTTTGTGAAGAAAAGCACGGAGAGAATCAATACTGCAGCGTAATTTAGTTTGCTGGAAAGGATTCTACAATTCTGTTTTTTTTTCTCTTCACAAATCGAACTTTTAATTGTAAAAAATTTGACGTGTATTATATACTCTGAAAAAAATCACACACATTACAATATTTTTATAGTGATCCCGAGTTAAAGTGATAACATTTTTTTATTTCGTCGATAGTACTCTATTAAATTTTAAACAGTGTTTACAATAGCGTTTTTTTTTGCGCTTTCAGAAAACGTTTTAATTTAATAAGTGACGATTGCGCTTTAATGCAATCAGCAAGTATATTTTAATACGCACGTTCCCTTGTGTAATAATATTGTAATGATGTGTGAATGGTATCACGACGCAAATATTGCAAATAAAAAATTATTACATTATAATATTATCACTAATTATATTAAATAATAATAATAATAAAATCCCCTTTCCTCGTGATCGATACGAAATACATGCATGGCGAAATACCTCTTTAGCTGTAGATCGAATGGAGATGAGCTATATCGATTCAGCCGATTAATCGACTTGTGTCCAGATGTACGCGATCGCCTGGGCGGTGGATCTTCCGTCGAAAATCGGCGACCTCGAGGTCCTTGTACTGATCGCATCCTGCATCTGTCACGATCTCGATCATCCGGGCTACAACAACATCTACCAGATAAACGCGCGGACCGAGCTGGCGCTGCGTTACAATGATATCTCGCCTTTGGAGAACCATCACTGTTCCGTGGCGTTCCGGGTCCTGGAGCAGCCCGAGTGCAACATCCTCGCGTCCTTGGACAATGCCACGTACCGAATAGTCCGCGAGGGCATCATCCGGTGTATCCTCGCGACCGACATGGCCCGGCACAACGAGATCCTCAGCCAGTTCAACGACACCGTTCCCGAATTCGATTACACCAGCAAAGCGCACATAAATCTGGTAAATACGCCGACCGATGAAGGTATACAGGGTGTCCCGTATAGGAAATTGCGGAAACTAATCAGCTGTCAATTTTTAATGCAGTTATTGAGAAAATAAAAATTGTGTTGAAAAGAGGGAACATTGACTTTTTATCAATAAAGTAAACTGGTATACTACAAACATTTTATTTATATCCATTAAGGGGATCCTAAACATTCTTGAGAAGTCTGTTGTTTTTTTCCTGTTTTATCGACAAAATGTGAGATTAGATTAACTATTTATTGGCTATACGGATTGTTTTTCACCTGAAATTAGAACGCTTCGCTCTTTGTGTTAATATTAATACTTTAATTTGTACAGAAAAAAGATTTTTCAATCTGTATATAGTCTCATATATCTTGATTACAGAATGCTAAGCATTCATAATTCTGTATCGATAAAACAGGAAAAACAACAGACTTTTCAAGGACGTTTAGGATCCCCTTAAAAACTGCAGACTTTCCACTTTCCAATACTATTTTTGTTTTGTCAATAACTGCATTAAAAAAATGACAGCTGATTAGTTTCAGCAATTTTCTATGTGACACCTTGTAGTTGATAATTTAATAAAATAAAATAATAAAATAAAACATTCAGCCAAATGGAACCTTCACTAATCACGTGTGTTTTCCAGCTGTCCATGATCCTCATCAAGGTGGCCGATATAAGTAACGAGGCGCGTCCGATGGAAGTCGCGGAACCCTGGCTGGACAGGTTGCTTCAAGAATTCTTTAAGCAGAGCGACGCGGAGAAGCTCGAGGGTCTTCCGGTCACCCCGTTCATGGATCGCGACAAGGTGACCAAACCGTCGTCCCAGGTTAGCTTCATCGGCCTAGTTCTCCTCCCCCTCTTCGAAGCCCTCGGAGAACTTCTTCCCGAGCTGCAGGTACTCGTGAATTCACTTATTCATGATAAACGGTCCACTTTCTGATCCTTTTAAGTGCAGCGAGGGCAGTTATTTTTTTTATTCATGAAAGCAATATAAAATTAATAACAAACAGTTCGAAACGTCAGATTCTTTGCAATGGAAAGTAATACGTAGCGTTATTTATCTAATTGATAATTGACATGATATATAATTAACGTGAAAACTTCGACAAGGTCAGAAGAAAGTGGGTCATTTATCTTAAAGCTTGCAATGAAGTAAATCGTTCTTAAATAGATTGATCAATTGAAATAGAAATTGGCGACTTTTACCATCCCGAAATCTTGCTTTCCAGGCTCTCATAGTTCAACCGGTCAGGGAAGCTCTGGAGTACTATCGCAGATTGAACGAGGCCGCCAAGGACGAGCGGCATCATCGGAAGAGTGTCATCGACACGGGAGAATCGGGGATATCCAACGTGCCGAGCGGCACCGGCGGCTCGTCCGCCGTCGTCAAGTCAACGTCGTCGCACAGTATGCGCTCGAAGCGGTCCGCGACGACGATCCACTCGCGCTCGCGCTCTACCGAGGACGACATCACGGAGAACCTGACGATGGAGGAGATAGAGAACGTCGAGAGCTCCGATCCGGAGACCGCCACGGAGGTGGAGATCAGCGAGAAGACGCTCAAGTTCAAGATCTCCACTGAAGGCACCCTGACCGGGCAGACCGGCGGCCGGAAGAGCTGTCCCGGCAGTCGCAAGGGCAGCCGGGAGAAGTCCTCGTTGGATTATCACAATCACGATCTGGTCAAGGCGGTGCGGGAGCACGAGAGGAGACGCAGCAGGGGCGAGAATCTCGGCAGCGACCTCAGTTCGCCGGTTAGCGCGAGATCCGCCGAGGGTACGCGCATCGTCGAGGAACTGGAGAAGGAGACGACGACGTTGCTGGTCAAGATCGAAAGTAGAACGCCGGAAGGGAACGGTAACATCATCGCGGCGGAGGTTGCTCACTCGCAACCGAGGAATAACGTGAAGAAAGCCGGCAATGTCATCGAGAGCGATCAGGAGATTCGATCTAGCTGCAAGGACGCGCACGGCAGCCGAGAATCGATCGGTCTGCGATGTTGCTGCGACGACAGAACTGGGCCGAATAATCACAGGTCTTTATTCTCACGGCTGAGGAACCTGACGGACCGTCTGAGTAGCAGTTTCGATTCGAGAGACTCGCCCAGTCCGAAGTCAAAGCACGGGTCCAAGACGCTCAGCAAGAGCAACTCGATCAGCAGCGGTTCGGCCGCGACCTCGCGAAGGCACAACAATTCCTTGTTCATCTGCAAGCGTTGCAACCTCGTCAAATCTTCTGTCAAGGACGGTAACAAAGCCATCGCGACCGTGGTGGAGCTATCGTCGGTGGACAAGCGAGCGATGACCCTGCCCAAGGTTCGCAAATCCACGGACAGCAAGAACAAAAGCTGGCGAACGGTGTTCACCAAAGAAAAGAGATCGTCGACTTCTCTGGAGGCTTTGCCGGCGGCCGGTTCGTTCTCCAAGCACCGTAGAAACCTGTCGAATCCCGAGGGCAAGTCTCAGAGCATGAAGGAGGGAAAGAGATCTCGACAGGCTCTGGAGATCGAGTTTCAGGAGATCGACGTACGTCCGAAGAAGCATCAGCAGCAGCCCGAGATCATCGTCAATCCCGACGACAGCGCGTGTGAATGCATCGAGGAGGATCTCGGCAAGGTGGAAATCAGGAGGAGCTCGGCCAGCATGGAGGACATTTCTAAGATGGCGAAGCAGGCCGAGGCGGTGAAGCTGGGCGCGCTGAATCCCAAGACGGAGGAACGCCCGCACACCGGCAGTCTGGACTCGATGCTCTGCAAGGAGGTGCCCAAGTCGCGAAAGAAGCATTCCGCCATGTTCGCCTCGCCCGCCACGACCAAAAAGTCCTCGCCCGGTCTGTTCTCGCGATTCAAGTCCGGCATGAGCATCGACAGCACCCGGAGCAACAGCAACAGCGACTCTCTGCACGATCACGGCTCGCAAAGCGGCTGGATATCCTCGTTGACGGCCAGCTTCCGGCCGAAGAGGCACCCGAACGAGACGCCGTTGTCGCCGCATCCACCGAGATCGCCCAGCAGAGAGGAGATTAAGTGATACGTCCTGGTGGTCGAGGATCCCTCTGACAAGAAACTCGGCCTTCGCGGCTGGTGGCCCGAAAACTTGTTCTGCTGCAACAGTTAGGACTCGAGCTGAAGAAGTTCGAGCTAATTTAGGCTGAGAAATATTCGCATTGTAATACGAGAAAGGAACCTAGTAAAATAATTGTCAAAAGAAAAAGGTATTTGAAGAGGTTTAATTTTCTAACACAGGAATCATCGTGTTTCTCATTGCGGTATATTGGTTCTCGGCATCGATTAAATAACTGCGATGCGCAGACATGAAATTTTCCGATCAAACGCCATCGGTGATAATCGATAAATGTAATCCGTAAAAAGAGTAAAAAGTAGAATATAAATTCTCGCGAGTGATCCGCGATGATTAATGTCGCATTGTAAAATGCGCGTGTAATATAGAAGAATGAAATCTATATCCCTGTATAATTAAAAGCAGTCAATTTCGAACAAACGTCGTATTTGCTCGAATGAAAGCCAATTATTGAAAAATAAAAAACGAATAAAAAATGTTACATATCTGATATATAATTTCCGAACGAATTGAATCTTTTTTGCAGAGGGATCCTGAGATACGACCATAATTTTACGCCACTTTTGAGTGTTTTATGTCATTAAATACGATCGAAAAGTCGCGAGAGTCGAGATACTTTATTTGCGAGGGATACTTACGGCCTGTGGAAAAAAAACGAGGATGTATGCTGTACACATAGACTATTTTATTTATTGTCCAATTAAAAGTAGCCTAAAAACAAGTAAAATCATTAATGTTGTTCGTCACTATATATTCATTCACACATACATACATACACACATAAAAATATACGCAGATGTATACAAAGACATAAGGATATAACGCATCTTCACCACGAGCAAGTGGATAGTTTATAAGTAGACGAAGGAGAAGAGACAAACACAAATAGATGTGTATCGATGTGCGATTAAATTTTGGCGACTGTATCAAGGATGCGAGGTAAGAGAATCTTGTCAGATTATTCTTTAGAATATTCCGAGGAAAATTTTATTTTCAAGCAACACGTTCTTACAAATGATTTTAGAGATACATATTATTTTCTGATTAATTACACTTTTTAAATTTTTCTCAAGATATTTCTGGAGATGTTCTTGGTTTATTCGCGGATTATTCTCAGACACTCTCGAGAATCCCGAAATATTTTCGGGTAATTTTTATTTTTCAAGAAAATTGTCATCTCATACAACCAGTAGTTGTCACGAAAGGAAAAAATGGAAGAGATTTATTATATTTCTTCTCATTGGATTTTTAATTGCTTGGAGAGTATTGGAAAAATGGTTTCGCGAATCATCTTATATCTAATCGCATTATTATTGAATCTATAAAATGATTGATTAGAGAAAACATCTATTTGAAGTTTTTCGAACAGCGCTGATGAAATATTTTTAGCATTTCTTTAAACATTGAATCGCGAAAAAATACATAAAATCGATAACAAATATAATATCGATTGATTTTCCTTTCGATTATCCATTAGACTTTCTATTCTATCTCGCGATTGTTTAAAAATTCAAATATGTAATGTCATAAATTATAAATATACATATCTGTACCTCAGAACTAAAGTGTATTAAAAATCGCAATTTTACAGAAGAGAGAATTTAAAAATTAAGTAATTCTCTTATAACATTATTCGGCCAATTTTCACTAAAATAGAGTGAGTTATGTATGTCAATTGTTATTTTTTATTAAAAAAAAAAAAAATGAAGATTAGCATTAAATAAATTTTCGTGTGAGTTGATAGAATATGAATTAATAAAGAAATAATATAATAAATTAATTTGACAAAAGAATCATCTCTTCTTGCATCTGTGTTTTGAAAAACACAAGTAGAATTAGCAAATTTGTTGGGCGCGTAATAGTACACATATTTATTAACTTTATAATCCTATTACTTGATTTGCAATCCATAGCTAACTGTAGAACTTCACTAGACAACAACTGTTCAAAATGAATATGTAATATACTAACAATAAACTAAGTTCCGAGGAAACTTTATCACGTGTGTGCAGAAATCGTTAATATTATGTACACTTTGCCATATGTTTGAGCAAGATGAGCACTTATATGATTGTTTAGCGTTTCGCTCATAGCAAGTTATATCAGAAATGAGTTATTACAATATGTTATATCAGGAAGAAGTTATTACAATACATTAAAAAAGCCTGGGTAGACATACGGACTTAATTTCATTTAAACTTTGTGTTCTCAGTCAATATTACACATGGTTTAATATTCTCCAGCATTTGGAAAATCCTCAAATATTTAATACATTGATCGAATAAAAGCTAAATAATAAATTGCTAAAAATCGACTTAATACACTTTATCTCTGAATGTACAATTATATATATATATATATATATATATATATATATATATATATATACATGCATAAATACAATTGTTTTTGTACGAGAGAGATTTCCCGTTCTACATTTTTCTAAATGTTTATATTTTTACGGTTCATCATCCAACTGCATCTACATGGCAATTGAAAATGGCGCGTATTATTGAACTCTAGTCTTGCGTTATTGTTTTCAGACTAATCAGAAATTGATTTTAGGCGGGTTTGTTTTACTTTGGGCGAGGAAAAAACTCAATATGAGAACGAACGAGCGAACGGTTGTGTATACATTTACTCGACTGATTATTTGACTAACGATGAATTTCTCTCTCCTTTTATTTTGTGTAGAATCAGTACTCGTTGATTAAACCAAATGGAACTGTGTATGTGTGATGATACGAATGAGAAGAATCAAGTCTATATATGCCGTCTAAAGTGCATAATTAAAAAAAATTAAAAATAAATTGCGTTAAAATTTCGTGATTTTTTTTATTCGGCGAATTTCTGCTGTCGGGACGTGAACTCGAATGATAGAATATGTACATATGGAATAGAATAGTATAATTATCTTTTAAGCAGAATAAATCTCCTGTGAGACCTTCCTCGAAATTGAAAATTGAATTAGTAGACTCGTTTTTTCCTGAGAGAAAGTTTATTGAGAAAAAGAAAGAAAGAATATTAAAAAAAAAAAAGGATAGAATAAATGGAAAAGAATATATTTGTGGGCGAGAGAGTGTATGTTTAGAACGATGCATATATAATAATAATAATAATGATAATGATAAACGATCAAGTTCTCCCTCGATGTGAACGAAAGAAGGCATTTGATTTTGACACTTCGCGAATCAGACTTTGCGCTGATAAATGATTTCTAGAATTAATTGTAAATTCTATAATCGATAAATAACGAGAAAATGATCAAACGTCCCTTATTGAATCGCGAGATTAAACTTGGAATGGATCAAGTGTTTACTAAAAAAAAAAAAAATTTGTATCACGACCAAAGTAGATATTCCTAAGGCTCTTGACACACTAGAGGAAATCAAATGCACTTTTTTCCTTTTGTATCCCTCACTCTCTGTGCCTGATTGTTACTAATGTTTAAGACTAATGTTGGAGAAAGGTACTCAATTTGATTTCGCTGTTTAATTTCACCAGCGAAAATGTATATTAATTTTTCAACTTTTGTTTCAAAAATATATATTAAAAAATTAATAGAACTATTTATCCAAATTATAATTATTATTAAACTGTAGATTTCGTGGTATAAAATGAGAAGAAATTAAATTGTTTTAGCCTAGGTTTGCTTATATAATTCTTGAAAGAAAAAAAAACGAAATTTTAGTGTCGAGTTTGGATGCTTTTCTCCAAAATTGGTCGCATTTGTTTGCAATTTTTTACCTACTATTTCTTAACTATCTATCAAAATCTTGATTTAAAAGTCAATGAATTTTCAACGGTCTTCGGAGAGTTTCGCTAGAGATATAAAAACCAGAGTGTCTATACTTAAATAAAAATTCAAATAATGTTTTCCATAAAGCCGCGAAATAATATTCGACTTGCAAGATCGTCGAAATATTGATTCTTGCTTTTCGTGGTATCTAACGAGTAGATACACTGAAAAAAAGTTTGTCAAATTAACAAATATTTAGTTCAATACGTTCAAATGAATCATTAATTTGCAACAAATAAATATTTATTCGCTACAAAAATACTTATTTGATATAAGAAAATTCTTTTCAAAACATTATTTGTTTCAAATAAATGATTTGTTTAAATACGCATTGAGAGAACTAAATATTTGTTAATTCAACAAGCACATTTTTTTCGCTGTACCCTCCCACAATTAATTACGTAATAAAAGAATAGATAAGAAATAAATAAATAAAATAAAGCGGAACACAGAGAATTGGGCCAATATCGAGCCGTATTAAAAAATACGGCGTCGTTTTACTCTCGTCAATTGAATCTTTAGTCTCATTAGGATTTTTGTCCTATTCCAATTATCGTCGTCAATTATCGGGATGAAATATACATTCGATTCAATCGTATATAATTAATTCCCGTCTCTCTTTCCGCCACTCTTTTCTCTCATGATTCTAACATTGACGTTAAAAGCGATCGATGTTTACACTGAAAAAATGACCAAATTAATAAATATTTATTTGAATACTGCCAAATGAATCATTTATTTGGAATAAATATATATTTATTTGTTTTGAAAAAAAGTTTCTTATATCAAATAAATATTTTTCATATCAAATCAATGTTATTAGTTTGAAATAAATTATTCAGTATTGAAATAAATACTTATTCAAATTCAATAAATTTTTTTTTTCAGTGTATTATATCACGCTTGATTTTATATTTATTGTCACGTCTTTTTACCGAAACACAATCTACTATGCTTATATCCGAAGTTACCAAATATCTAAAATTTATTTTAGAGCTAATATTACCAATACATTTACGAGAAAATGTTTATAATATGAATAAAGAGAAGTTAGAAAAAAAGAAAAGGAAAAGAAAACGAAATCCACGGCTCTGATATTGAATATTCCAATTAATGGGAAAAGTTACTTGGAATTTATTTTGCTTCCGAGAAAATATATTGTCTCCTCCGATATTTTCCTTATATATGTATATATTACATACATATTCTCAAATGATGAAAAATATAAGACGGCTCGAGATATCGATAAGAAATTTTTGCTTTGCTATTTTCTCTCGTCAAAATATATTTTTATATGTATTTCCCAATTCAAATTAAACGGCAAATAAATTATTCCAAGTATAATAAAACGTTTTGGATATGCCAACAAATTATATGAATGCTCTCATAATCGCGTTACGCGATAATTCAAGAATAATCTACGATATGTCGTGTATGAGATTTGTTTATTTGGAATCTTTTTGATTGAACAATATATCGAGCTTTCGATAATTATTATTAATGTAATTAATACGTGCTCGTCAAATGTAATTGCCGTAATAATTGACGTACAAAGACGTACGAGATGTTCCTAAAAAAAAAAAAGAAAAAAAGAAAAAAATGCGTAAACTAAACTTTCGATGAATCTAGATAGAAAACACACGACTCTGATGGATGTCTACAGGATTTTATCCATGATTAAAATTTTTTTTCTCAATTTTTTAAAATTTAATTTTTTAAAATTTCATTTTAATTTTTTAAGCAAGTGTTTAAATTTTACTAATTCTCCCTCTGCGGACGTCCATGAATCTACAAAGCTATACATTAATATTAATAATGTATAGCTGCTATAACACATTTCTTCGAGGTTGTCACTATAATACTAATTTTTTTTAAACAGACTACTTGTACTCTCTTGTACCGCAAAGCGATATATATATATATATATATATATATGCGTTTCTCTCGTATAAATCAGATCGGCATTGAGGTAATTTCGTGTTTATAAGGTTCGTTCTCTCCGTCTCTCGCCGTCCCTTTCTCACGAATCGTTAAATTAAAAAAAATCGTTGATTGTCAAGCAAGAAGGAACCCAAGGAGAACAGAAATATCAAAATGATGTCAAATTGATGTCAAAATATGGTCAAATTTTAGTTTGTTAAAATGACATCAAATTTTGTATAATGTTCACAATAATAAAAAATTATACATTTTTGGATTAAAAATAATTGAGATGCAAATTTACGACGTAAGCCGCTTAAAATAATATTTTAATCGGCAATTTAGTTTTTAATACAATAACTCAACTCTTCTGCGAACTGCAATGATATCTGAATATGAAAAAAGTTAACCTTTAATTATCTTCATAATAACAAGCATTTTATATACACAGTCGAGAAACGTACATCACATTTTCTAAAAATCAAAAAGGTAAAAAAAGTCAATATAAAATGTCATTTTTTAGTCATCTTCGAGATCGAGATTTCCATGACCAAAAAAATGACATTTTAGTCAATATGACGTCAAATTGACATCATTTTAACTTTTCTGTTCTCCTTGCGCATACAGCACAAAATATTTAAAAAATTTTTCAAAAATGTTTTTTGAAAGATAAAATAATTCTCGAAAATATTTTTAAAATGTTTCTATATCCGCTTTTTCATGTTTAAAAAATATTTTGAATATAGATTTAAACTAATATTTCAAAAATATGTATCACATATTTTAGAAAATATTATCTGAGCGATAAAGAAGAACATTTTTAAAAATATTTTTAAAAGTTTTTACAAATATTTTAAAAAGTGTTACCACAAGAAATTTTTAAATCATTTTAAAATAATATTTCTAAAACAATTTAAAAATATTTTATGCAATATTTTATAGAAATATTTAGAAATATTTTTTGAAAACTAATAATATTTTGTGC